CAAATAGACCATCTATAAAAAAGTCAAGGAAGCATATCACCAAACCCTACAAGAAGGATTGACAGTTTGAGGGAACAAAAAATGATAGACCACTGCAATAACTTTGCAGCTAGTTGCCCCGTTTCCAGTTCTATTACCTGTATCTTCTTAAAGCAGGGCTGAGACCACATAAATCTCTTGCTTAAAAACTTTCCAGAGCTCCCTGTTATCTACCAACTGAAATGCGAAACCTCTCATCTAAGGACTGAATGAAATTTCTGCACAATGCACCCCAATTCTCTTTTCCATCCTCATTTCCCCTTTAGTGCCTATATAAAGCAAAGGTTCAACCAAACTAGATTATATGCTGTTTCTTGCGAAGGCTCTCATATAATTTCCTTTCTCGCTGCCTTTGCTCATGCCTTTTTTTGTGTCTACAAGTCGACTCAATTTCCTCAATAAACATTTATTTAGGATTGTCACTGTGTTAAATATTGTTGTGGGAAGGGAGAAAGACGGAAATTACAATGATTGCCTGCCCTAGAGAAGCTTACAATCTAACAGAGGAGACAAACACTTACAAAGGAACTTGTTAAATGATGTGAAGGTGCAAAGAGAGGCCGACGGAATCTGAGAGCCCAGGGGAAAGGCACCTAAAATCCCCTAGGAAGGCGGAGGTGCGTGCTGAAGGGGTTTAGGCCACAGAAGAGGAGAGGAAACCAGAGGGCACGATGAAAAGCAAAGAATAGAGGGGACAAACAGTACGGTGTATGCAAACTACACGCATTTTGTTATGTTGGAGCATAGAGATTGAGACGACAAAGGCCAGGAAAGCTGCCCTCTCCTTCACGAAGGAGCCCGTATCTTCTTCTGAACAGAACCTCTTTGTGAGTGACTTAGAGCATTCACTTTGAACTATATTTATCTTGTCTCATTCATAAGTGGTTAATGTCCATTTTCTTTCAACCCTCTGCAATTTTTTTTGGCAACACTTCTTACCACAGTAAGTGTTCAGTATGTCCTTTCTAAATGAAATTGAGAATCAAGAAAAATCAGGCAATGGCTGCAGCCAATACTTGAACACTATCACCATTTAAAGAGTGAACAAAAAAATATACTTTTGCATAACCAAAAAAAAAAAAAAAAAACGCGAATGAACCTGTCACAGGATTTTCCAGTTGTCTCTCTATCATAGGGTTAGATCATGGAGAAGATATATAGACCAGTCTAATACAATTTGACAGTACCTGCATTCAAGTGTAATTCCAACAAATTGAATAATTTTACTAAAATAAGGTCAAGATCTCCACTAGTTTTTTTTGGGGGGTGGGCGGAAGCAGGGGATGTAGAATAAGGACTTCTTAGTGGTCTTAGCTGAATTGAAGTGCAAATTAAGAGTCATAATAAACCACAATTTGTGGAAACATTTAAAAATACTGTGACAGTAATTTGCATTATGTAAGACCTATGCTAGATTTTGTGAGCAATATGGAAAAAATGACTAGTCTAATAAATAGCTACTAAATCTTGGAATATTTTTTGGAACACAGTAGCTTAGAAAAATATTAATAGTTTAACATTTTATTAAAATAGTTAATATTTGGCTTTGGAACTAAAAGCGGTATTTAAAAATTAAATTGAATTTTAGTTAGCATTTCATGAAAAACCCAACACAATAGCCTCCCCAAACATCTTTTTCTCTTTAAAGCCTCTTGTCACCCTCATCTCTGATCTATGCTATGTCTACTCTCATCTTTTGCTTTCCTTTTCTTCTTCCTTCACATAGGTAAAACACATCTCTGTATCTAACCTGGGTCAAATTATCCTTAGTTCAATGCAGATAAGCATATGGTCATCTGCAAAATCATATTCAATATCACTTTGCTTATTTCCCTTTCACTTTGTTGCTTCCTACATGTGTAGAATAAGAACAGAAAAGAATAGAATTCTTCCCCTCTGCATTAACTTGAGAAAAACACACACGTGCACACACACACACACATTTCTCCTGAGAGAAAAAAGAATATTTATGTTTATTTTTATTTCGAGTTTCTTAAAAAACCTAGTTTCTTAAAAAACAAATTCATAATACTTGTTCTCTTTACATTAAAAAAAAAAAAAAAGACGTAATGTGATTAATGCAGTAGGGAAAAAAAATTAGTCCAAAATGTTTTTCACTGAATTAACTATTTCCTTGACTAGCCAATCAACTTTAACCAGTTCTTTATCCTCATATCATCGCAAGAAAATTTTCATAAAATATAGATAGATAGGTTATAAACAGAAACATTTCTTTTGAATCAAAGTTTAAAAAGTAAATGTGGGTAGAATATGGTGACTGTTAAAATGCTATTTAATCATACTATGTTATTAAAGATAGTTTTATTAAAACAACAAAAACCAGAAACATTGTGCTAATTTTGCAAACAAAGTCAGGTTTATCTTCCTGTGGGGAAAAGTAATTGGAGAAAAGCAAACTTTACACATACCTAAAAAAAAAAAAAAAAAGCTATAAATAGTGGAATGACAAACTATACTGTGGATCTTATTTGTCATGCAAATTTCATAATATATGTTCTATACATAAGCCTTTTTTTCCCTGGGAGTATGAGTAATTTTGGACAGTTTTGAAACTCTGAATAAATACATGCAATGCTCTTTTAAATAGTTTACCTTTCTTTGATTCCAAAGTTAATTATATTCGTTTGTATGTTGAATGATGAATTTTACAATCTGTATTTCAAATGAATATATAAGGGAATTGAAAAAAAATACTACTTATCTATTAATAAACTGCTGCTAACCAGACTTCTTCCTGCCCCCTTTAAAAGTAGGGCTTATTTTGTTTTAGATATTGAAAACTGATTGCTTTAAGTCCATCATCAAAATACATTGTTTTTCACTCAGTGGGTATTCCATCATACATATTTTATTCAGTATTTTGATTTACATGAGGAACTGTAAATTCAAACTCGGAATTTAGTGTTGAAGGTTGATGAGCTTTGAACTTTTTTTTTTTTTTTTTAACAAACAAGGAGAGAGCAGTTTTGCTTGAATTGCACAGAGCATCTGCTGTGTGTCCAAGACTTCTTGTCGTCATCCTCCAAATGGGCAATAACTGAAATTATAAGTTCTTCGCAGTTGTTGTTATTTTTTAAATTCATCTGTACTCAGTCCCAGTGACCCA